CTAAACATCTGAAGTTTGATATTTGCACATGTAACACTTAGTGTTGGTTTTGAGATACGCCTTCATTTAACTTTAATGATTCATTACATCCATTTATGTATCATGTTTTATTCGAACAGATTCTTCACTTTGATTAGAATCTGTTTGAGAGCTGCTTTTCTGGTTGGAGAATGGATGAGAAGGAGCAAGTATTTTATTATTGTGTAATTCTCACCATTTTGTTGTAGAGCATTGTGAAATTTTCAAACACAAGACACTAGAATTGGATTCATTACTATAAATTTGCTAAATAAGGAAGTACTAAACTCTATTCTTATATGATTTAAAGTTATCATTATGCCACTGTCATGCAGCCTGGGACTCTCTTGTAAGAGATGAGCTGTTAAGCCTATAGCCTAACTGGTTACGATTTAGTTTATCTGTAATCCTACATATTTCATACTTTAGTTAATTTGGAAGCTTAGGTTGAACAATCGTAGAATCGAGAGGAACTTCCATGCTTCCTCGTTCGAGGTCACTACATATTTCTTTTTTCAACACTTTCAAGGTCGTTAGATATTCCTTTTTTCCAAAACTTGAAGGGGAAATGACGGGTCACAACACTAAACCCTAGCCTAATTGAATTGTGAAATTACAAATACTTACAAGGTACCTTACCTCGAAGATGTGAATGAACCTTCTTGCAGTCTGTGTTATCTTATACCTTTCCAGGAGCCAAATTGATCCGCTAAAGAATGTGAAAGCACTAGGAGATAATTGTTAAAGGATAATGTTTTTGTACTACTCTTCAGGTTAATGTTTTTGTACTACTCTCTCTGATCATCATGATGCTCATGTTGGCATCAATTTTTGGATGTCACGAGTGTAGGATGTCCGCATAAGCACTACAAAAACTTGTTTGATGCATGTGTTGATTCCAGTGGTGCAAGACATCCATTCAAGGCCTTTCGACAAGTGTTGAGGGGCACGTTGTCGAGGTCGTTTTGCTAGACTCTGACTCTTGCTTAGGCGAAGGCCGGTCATCATGTTTGTGATCGAATGACTTCGGTCGGGTCAGCGGGTCTTATTTGTCGCGTCGCGCGCGAAACTGGCTTAAATTGATCTGATCATTGATGAAACTGTCTAGATGACCCTGCATGATGAAACAGACTGTGTCAACACATCTGGAACGTCGATTTTACTCGGGAATGACACCCCCAGATGTCGATTTTACTCGGGAATGACACCCATATTGTTGGGGTTCCTTGCACGCGTGAAAAGTGCACAAATCGAGGAATTTTTGAATAAATAATAACATTATTATTAAAAAAAAGGAAAATCCCTTTTAAAAATTGTGAATTGTGCCCTAGCCGGCGGATTTTTTTTTTGTGACTCCTTCGGTCGACCTCTTCCGTTCGCGAAAGCTCACCTCGCGACCCCCTCTTCGCGCCTCGCTCCCTCTCCGGCAAGCGAGCCTCGCTGGCGCTCGTTGACCGCCGACCGCCTCCTTCTTCCCCGACGTCGGCAGCCCCCTCCTTCATCCCGAAAATTTCCTTTACGTGCCTTAGCCCGTCGTCCCTCAGTCTCTGCCTCCTTCCTCGCTGGCGAAACTCCGTCAGTCTCCTTCGGCGGCGACGACCAAATCCGACCAACCTAAACTTCTTTCTGACCAGATTCGGCCTTCTAGTCTCCTTCCGTGCTTCGCATCCGCAGCACCTCTTCTCGGCTTCCTTCCCTGGCCGAGCCTTTTTTTTTTTTTGCTCCTCTTCCGTCGGCAAACCTTTCTTCGTCGGCGAAAACTCCGATAGCAAGGTTCCTGTCGTTGCCTCCTTTGTGTGCAAAACTTAGGGCAGCGCACTTCCCTCTCCCTCGTCGTGGCGGCGAACACTTGCGGGGCGGCTATAGCGTTGCGATACAAATCCGGCGTTCGACCCCTCCTCTTAAAGGTACGTTTTGGTCATATTTCATATGTCAAAATTAGTTTTTTTTTTTTTTTTACTTTGCATATCTCACTCATTGATTCTTGTCTCTTCTGCCCTCATTGGGACTTTTTATTGTCTTGTGCATGTTACACGAGGTACATTGGAGCACGAATCCGACACCGGCGACTCGATGTGTGGGCTCTTGATACACCGAAAATATATCAATTTTTAGACTCATATTTTATACTCATTTTTTTTGATATTGCACTTTAATGGAATGTATTTTGATGTTTTCTTGCAAGTTGTTGATTTTTAAGGCTTAAAGCAAAAAAAAACAAAAAAGTTGAAATTTGGAGTCAAAATTACGTTTTTAAAGAAATACTCAGTGCCGGCAGCGCCGAGGTCAGCGTCGACGGCGCAGAACAACTTAAAGCTGGAGATTTTTACTCAATGCCGACGACGCCTGACCAGCGTTGACGGCGCCAAAAGCGGTGCAGACCCTGTTTCTAAAAGGTTTGATGTATTTAGACGATTTTTTGAAGAGTTTTTTTAGGCACCTCTTGGAGAACCGGCCTTGGGCTCTATTTGGAGCCGAATTTCATCAGAAAAAGGGCTCTTTTACGCATCAGAAAAAGTGCTCCTCTGCATTTTTCACTCCTCTACGTTCATTTTTCACACTACATCATTCCATTCAACTACCATATTGGAGTAAATTTTTTATTTTGCTTTCACAGTTTGAAATTTAGTGTGAAACTTTCTGTAAGAGTGTTAGAGAAGAAGAAAAGTGAGAGATGTCTTCTTCATGCAATTCGAAAGAAAAGCTACAAAGGATTTGCTCTGAGAAAAAGTTTTCAGATAAGTATTGTTTATTTATCAGTGTTGTATGAACTTTCTTTTATATATGAAATTTGTGTTTTGTTATTTCTTTCTCATGAAGTCTGAATAGTTTCCTCTATTTTTCTCCCTACTCTGAGAAATTGTGAAATTAAGAGATAATATGGATGTACCAATATTAAAATGTAAAATAAATTGTGATGACTTTTTAACTCCGAACTTAATTTATTTTTCATTCTGGCCAATTGAATTGTTAAAATGTGTTGTGAAGTATGAGTTCTACAACAGAGTGAGGATCACATTTGATTTCATGGAAGAGAACATCGTTCATGGAATTAAGTGCAAATAAATAGAAAAATATTCCTTGTTGGGTGTAGAATTGAAGAATCTTTAGGGTGACAGACTAAAATCTTCAATTCGATCTTATTGTTTAAAAACTGAAGCGAGAGCTAGCCTTCAGGTGAAGGGAAGTGGGAGCTCTGGAGTGCGAGTCAGGGCGAGTCGGTATCCTTCTAGCCTAGCCACGGATTTAGAGACTAAACACTGAAATGAGCTAATGATTTTCTATACACTGTATCAGGGTAGAGAATTAAAATTGTCCATATTTGGCAAAATACATATTATGAACATTTATCTCATCTCATTTTACCATAGCTTCAATGTAGTGGGAAGGATGTTTTTCACATAAAAATCTTCCTTACATAAACTTAATTAATAGATTAGTATTTACTGTTTTAAACTTCACATTTTTTATTTGATAATAATTTAGAAATTTAATTTAGATTACATCTCAACAATTGAAATTAGTGACAGTGATTTCAATTGACTTTCTGTGAATTTCATAACAAATTTATCATTTCCAATTTAAACATTCCTTGTGAAATTGATATTTGGGGTTTAAATAGAAAGTTCATTATTACTTGATAACAATATGTAACCTTGCGTAGAATTCGAATATTAATTGATTATACTTATTTAAATTTTACACAATCTATCGAAACAAAAAATAGATCAAGTTTTTGACGTCGTTGTCGGGAACAGATAACAGTTAAATTAAATAGTTTTGATAAATTAGGAAATTTAGAGAAAATATATATACCATAAAAAAAATTAAAAAATTAAAAATTCAAAAATAAATATTTTTATTAGTGAAATATTGGATCTGAAGGTTTAGTACCTTACGATTCAGAATTAGAACGTACAATTAGAAAAATTTGAAAACAAAGAGAAATTAAAAATTTATAAGAAATGACGAATAACTTAGATAATCCAATAAATGAAAATCGACAAAAAACTTTAAAAGATTATGCGAATCCGACAGTAGATGAACTTCACTTTACTATTCAAAATTCTGATGTTGTAGTTAATTCATTTGAGCTTAAACCTGTTATTATCAAGATGGTACAAAATAATCAGTTTGGATGATCACCTACTGAATATCCTAACTTACATCTTGCTAGTTTTTTTTAAATTTGTGTTACATTTAAATATAACGGAGTGTTTAATGATGTTGTTAGGCTTAAACTTTTTCCTTTTTAATTAAGAGATAAAGCTAAGACTTGGTTAAATTTGTTAGCACCTGGATCTATTAGAACTTGGAAAGACTTATCACAAAAATTCTAGGCTAAATATTTTTCACCCTCCAAAATCTCTAAGCTGAAATGATATTACATTTTTTTGTCAGTTAGGTCGAACTAGAAGGGTCATCGCTAGAATCATAACATAATTTCATTAATGGTGCAACAGTATCGTCATCGCTAGGACTATTCTCACCGCTAGGTCTATCATTGAGGTCTATCCTCACCGCTAGGTCTATCATTGAGGTCTATCCTGTTGCAACTTGCAAACAGTAAAATTTGATTATCCTTTTTTCCAGGATAATATATATATATATAATCTAGAAGCATGAATTAGCTAAAATGTATGAAATTGTTAGGCTAAAATATGTGGTTATCTTATGCAAGATTTATGTTTCTGTTTTCAGTATCTTTGGTGCATATATACCACTGATCTTTGGTTTTGGCTGTCCACAAATTTTAGTGTCACCCTAAACAATGATCGAATTAGAAGGGGATTTACATATGTACTATTGAATTCTTACATATTTGCATTTTTAATACTTAAAAATTTTATATTTACTTATAAAACACCCTAATTTTTTATAATATAAAAATTTATCACGCCGAAAATGAAATATAACGCCGCCCAATCTTAAGAAGAAGGAGAAGAATAAACAAAATAGGGTTTATGCCCAAAACCGAAAAAGAATAAAAATACTGGAGGTTATCTTCCATAGAAGTAGGTATATGATACATGGATGTAGAAGAAAGAGAGAAGATGTGGAATTTATTAATAACTAGTAGCACGAGAAATTTTGATTAGGTGGGAGGGAGGGAGTGGGAGGGCTTGCCGGGTCGGTCGGCGGCGGCGAGGGTTTTCTGGATTAGGCGTTGTGCCTTGCGGCTTTGAATATCCACCTTGATGCTCGCAGTCTTGTCCATCTTCGAGTAAGACTCCTTCTGGTTCTTCTTATACCCCCTCTTTCTGCCCAGCGTACCCATCACCTTCACCTTCATCTTCTCCACTAGCTCCTCCACCCTCATGCTCTATCCTCTCTCTCTCTCTCTCTCTTCCCCGTCCCTTCTAGCCCGCGCATACTGAACTGACGTTGTGCCAAATAAAATTTATAATAACCTCTAACGCAGTATTGGTCTTACTTTCAACAGTATTAAATTATAAAAATTAATTTGGCAGCAACCCTCTTGCGACCGTCATCAATGATGAATTTTATTACTGTTGAAATTCAAGCCTTCCAGTGGGATTCCACTGGAATTGAGAGAAAAGTGGTGCGAAAAATAATTATCAAGCCTTCCAGCCAACACATTTTGAATTTAACACTTTACAAGCCTGCCATATCTGATGTGATGTATAAGAATTTTGATATCCCGTCAACAAATCATGATGATTTTAATAATCCACCCACATAGGCCACAATAACACTTCCTAAGACTATAATAATGCACATAAAAAATGCTAACATACTTTAGACTCCTAAATGTCACGGATAAATAGTCCCACATCGGCTAGGTGTAGGGCCGAAAAGCAGTATTTAAGTCTTGGGCTGCCCACCACCCATAAGGGCTCTTTTGGGAGGTGACAAGTGGTATCAGAGCAGATTACTGCCTGCCAGGTGTGTGGACTCTCCATGGTCTAGTGAGACTCTCGGTGGAGCCGATCCGTGACGAGAGCGTCACGTGATTGGGTGGAGGAGAATGTCACGGACAAATAGTCACACATTGACTAGGTGTAGGGTCAAAAAGCAATATTTAAGTACTGGGCTGTCCACCACCCAAAAGGGCTCTTTTGGGAGGTGACATAAAGCTCTCCTTATAACTGGCTATTACATCTTGTGTGATCCACAGCTTGTTTCGCTCTTAATCCTGCCTCTATGAAGTGTCTCTTCCTGCTGACTATTTTTTTTTAATTATCTGAGTTTGTGTTTGATTTTAGTGCAACGCTAAGATGATAATTAATTAATATTATCTGGGGTTTAGGGTTTAGGATTTAAAGTTTTGGGAGCATTTGGAACGCATCAAATTTATAATTAAATCGTGGAAAACCCATAAAAGGGAAAAACCACGGGGACTGGCCCAGTTGTAAAAATCCACTATAAGAAGATGATTACAGATGTCCCTTGTCCCACAGGCGGGAAAGGGTTACTAGCTTTCCACGTTATAACGTCGACTGATTACGTCTAGTAAGTGGTGGTTGTCGGAGGTCAGCGGTGATCGGCGGCGTTCAACGGTGGTCGGCAGTGGTCGACGGTCGTTGTCAACTGTCCCACAGGCGGGAAAGGGTAACTAGCTTTCCACGTGATGGTTAAAGGAGGTCAGCGATGATCGGCAACGTTCAACGGTGGTCGGCAGTGGTCGACGGTCGTTGTCAACGGTCAGTGGTGGCTGATGACGGACGGTGGTGGTCGACGGAGGTTAGTGGTGACTGGAGGTGATTAGCGGTGTCCGACGGTGGTCGACAGAGGTCAGCGGTGGCTGATGACGGACCGGTGGTGGTCGACGACGATCGACGACGGCGAGGATGATCTTGGACTTGAGCTCCTTCTCAAAGCCTCAAGTTCTCTCTTAAGCCTCCCCCTTCATGTGAGGGGTGATGCTCTATTTATAGTATTTTGAGTGCAATTAATGCAGGAATATGAATCATTTTGATCGGACGGCCCGGAGAGTTTCCCTTAATCAGATGACGTTTGATGGACATTTGAGTGCCTTAACAATGTCGAAATTGAGCAATCTTGGGCTTGTTGGATTCGTCTTTTCGAGACGTTCGATTTGACTATAAGCTCGCTAGATTCGACATCCTTTTGACCTTTTAAATGCCTCCGGAAATCCTCTAGTAGCGGTTTAATAACTTGATCTGGGCTTGATTTGACTCGGATTGGACTAACTTTTATATCATTAGGTCTGTTTCATCGAGCCGATCAGTTTGACTATAATTTTGCTAAAATCGGAGTTCCGGATGACTCGTAATCGAAGTTTGAATGTTCGTTCTCAAAATATTGCATTGAGATTCGTGCTGGATTATGATAATTTGGTGGTGACATATCAAATTTAATCCAAAATCTCAAATATTCCTTCCAATTGAGAATCAGATTTTTATTTCAGTCAAAAAAAAAAGAATATGGCAATTAATTTGGAAATCTCAGTGATATCAGATGTGGAATGCCAACATCTGCTCTTTTTTTTATTTTTTCTATGATTACCGAATGAAATTTTATTGATTACACAATCAAACCAAGACAACCACACATTTCTCGTTAGTTTGCTTCGGGCACTATTTTATGTTGCATTTTTTTTTCCCCCGCTGAAAAAAGTGGGTTTGCAGAAAAACGAAGGCACGGACAAAGGTGAAACCAGTCAAATGCGAAGACCATAGTGAACAAGGGTTGAAGAGATTTTATCGGACGTATATGGGGAAGGTTCACATTTCACAAGACTATTTTATGTTCATAAGACTTTTTGCAGCCATGATGTTGATTGCTGACACTGATGTTAACTTTGATTCTTATGATCCAGCACAAATATGGACAATGACCATCATTATAATTGGCTATAGTGATGTCGATTTCTGATGATCAGCACAAATATCAACATTAAGTTATCTTCATTAGTTTGCAATTGATTTTGACACCAAAGTTCAATGAAAATCTTGCATCAAAGATGCCGACTTATTTCAAGATTTCTGAAGGGCCGTTGTGATCATTTCAATCACAAATATCCAGATTTCTGTTCAAGTTTTATGTTTCTTATATACTTCCAAAAAAAAAAAATTAAATCATCAAGACCTGACATAAAATGTTGTGGAAATAAAAATAATAATAATATTTTGTGCCCCCGCTCCGAAAACTGTGGCTCCACTACTGACGAAGATGAACATACAAAATTTGAATTTAGTTTAGGGTAAGACATAACTTGAAACTCATAACGGAAGCAGCAAGAAAATTACTGCAATGCCTGTGCTCGACGGTCAGTACATTGGCATCCTAATAGATAAATGGGTAACAATTATCTGGATGCCGCAACTCCAAAGTCAAAAAAATGATGAAGACAAAAATGCAGAGCCAGAAAGGAGGGAGGACCGGAGGAGTCTTATGTTGATGAAGGAAACTAGTTCAAGGATGACATCAACTTTGGTAAAGCCTTCAATTAGAAGTGTGAGCACAGTTTCATCAAGTCTCCAATTTGAGGGCATCAGACCATAGCATCACGGTGGACAGCATTGCAATGGTAGCTGTCTCTACTCGAAGGCGGCAGGGACCAAGACCCACAGGTGTGGCACCTGCATCCACCATCAGCTTCACTTCCTCCTCTGTAAAATCTGATATGAATGCAAATGTTTCAACTAGGTTATCTACAAGTGTTTGAAGCCAAAATTTGATAATTATGATTATTCATTATTTCAAAGTGAAAAAAATACAGATGCAATAAGGTAAAAAAAAATAGTCAAGACAGGAGCAGCAGAAAAAAAACAAACACAGCCACATAATTTAATTGCTTTCAAAGCAAGGCATTAATAATATTCATCTTGCATCTTGTAACCGAGACAACGGTATGGCAGTTCATATAAGAGAGTTATAGGGAGAGAGACAGAGAGAGAAAATGTGTTTCACCTCCTTCAGGTCCAACTATAAGAAGGCCAGAGTTGGCCGCACTTGATATGGATAAGATACTTAAAAGAGGAGTAGATTCCGCAGCTGCTAGAAAAGTGAGTTTGGACTGGGAAACCTAAGAAAAGCCCAAAAAAATCCTTCAGCTGCAATGTCCTTATAATTGAAAGAAAGGATGACCTCATTAAAACAAAAGAAAAGGAAAGGAAATTATATAAAAAGCCCATGAGTAAAAGCCCATGAGTTTTTTTTTTTTTTTTTCTAGGGAAAACTAATCCGACACTTGCATGCAATCATCAATAAAATGATTAAAAAGTATGTGAAAAATCAGACAAGCTCTAAGAAATTCATGAAAGGAATTCGTTGAAAAGGGCTCCCAGATCATTAATGTCATAAATCCAGAAAAGGGCAAGCAAAATACTGGAATTTGAGTGGGGTGCAAACCTAAAACTAGTACACAACATAGTTCATCTTTCTGATCCTTGCACACAGCAAAGATAGAGAAGAAGAGAGAGGCTCTGACATCTACGTATGAGAACAACACAAAATTTTCATTAGCTTCATGAAAAGAACCTTTACTGATATAGTAGCAGCCAAGTGCATGATTTTTAACATTAAAAGACAGAAAATACATAACACAATACATCATGCAAAAAACATAACTTAAATACATAAATATGAACTCAAAAAAAAAATTTAAGCTAGCATCTGCATATTCAGGCCTTCTTGTAATGCATCAATTCTCCTAAACTAAAACAACTCTTTAGCTAAAGAGTTTTGACAATCTCAGAGGTGATGTTGAATCAATGGCAATATGTAGAAAACCATCATGACGTCCGCTAAATCTGTGAAAATTTTGGCTAGAAAGAGAAGAATAGAGTAACAACTTCATGGAGCAACAAGATTAGCAAACGAAGCTGGCAAACTACACAACCAATTTGTACAGAAAAAATTCTATTTGAACAACATGTAGTGAAACAATTACATGCAAATCTTCAACTGAGGTCATTTTTCTTCAGCATTTGCTTGGGCTTTTCAACTTCATTTTGTATGATCATTTCTTCAACCCATTGAATCGGTTCTAGCATTTGTTTTATATGGCCTTGACACTATTTTCTTGAACATGTTTTTATTTCAACTATTAAAAAGTTTCAAATTGTTGAAATCTCAGAGTCATCCACAATCATAAGATCACAAAAAGATTATCCATTATATTCTTAATTACAGGTATATTTCACCGATAGGGTATTAAAAACAGGTTATTATAATTAATCATAGAACAATTTTCAATTGTTTATAGAACAGTTACGGTAGTGAAATATATGACTATTTAAGATCTATTATGTCATGGTTTCAAAATACTCATTTAAATTTGTTTGGATTTATATATAAATGTGAAGTTATTTCTTGTTTATGAAAATTTAATGTTAGTAAATTACTTAATTATAAAAATTAAAATGAATTTAAACTAATTAGAAGCTGGAGTGCTTCGGTGTACAACACTATTTATTAAAAAAAAATTGAAAATGAAAATTGGGCAAATCATAAGAGAATTTCCTTCACTAAATAAACCATGAAGGAATCAACTCCAAATCGTGAAGGTCAACCACGTAGGTTATTTAGGACTAAATTTATTTATATATTGCACTTTTAACATAACTATCTAATCTATGAATCTCAAACATCGGGGATTTTGCAAAGAATGGAGGCATCTACTTATCAGGTCTTTGCTCAACTTGATGTTATATTTTAATGATCAAAGAAAGTATAAAGGAACCACGAGTTTTAGTAAGATAAAGAAATAAATAATAAGAAATACTCCAACAGTAAGTACCCTTACAATTCTCATCAAAACAATTACCTCGTACTAATGAACTAAATCCTCATAGAGCATGTTTTACATAAAATAAACTTATAAAACAAAATGCAATAATAAAACTCATAATGGTCACCGCTTTCTATGTCTTTTAACCAGCATACATTTTTAGATTTTCATCAATAGGGATCATAGGAAAAACACACTAAACCACAATTTATTTTTCTTCAGCATTTGCTTGGGCTTTTCAACTTCATTTTGTATGATCATTTCTTCAACCCATTGAATCGGTTCTAGCATTTGTTTTATATGGCCTTGACACTATTTTCTTGAACATGTTTTTATTTCAACTATTAAAAAGTTTCAAATTGTAGAAATCTCAGTCATCCACTATCATAAGATCACAAAAAGATATAAGATCATCTTCGTACAATTTCATCATCATAGAAATCTTCAAAAATTTCAACTTTAGAGGAAGCAAATGAGAGCATGGTTTCAATGAAATAAATTGATCTTATTTAGTAAAAAATTACACAGATCATTGGTAAAAAGGTAAGAACAAGGTTACACGAAAACCTTTGACGAAGTTCTTGGTTAAACTTTAGAGAGGAAAGGTATCAAAGATTAGAGTAGTAGCATATCTAGAAACTTTGCATAATGATCTACGAGTAGATTGATAAGGAATGGAAAGGTGAGGTGAATAATGACAATTGGAATGCTAGGAATGTTGTAGCTTTCTTTAATGATCTAATAGGTTGACAGGATAGGCTAAGCATTCTTTAATTTTTAAATGTTTACCTTTGTTCACCTGTTTGTAAATATAGGTAGCCAGGTCATGATGTTGAATTAAGAAACCGCAAGTCATTTAAAAATAAGAAAAACAATTAATTAGAAATAACAAATTAAAATAACATGCTCAGAATGGATGATTATGCTCAAGTGAAAAAGAGAAAAGCCTCAAATAAGGGTCCAGGAACTAGTGGGCTAAATGGACAGAAAGACTTAAAAAACATCAGAACTGGATCAATTGAATCAATCAAGCACATTGTACAAGCAATCAAACAAGACAAATCGGGTAGGGAACATTTGAAAATGAAGCCCAAAAATCCAAAAGTGTGTGTGATATGATTTACTAAATGCACTATCACCATTTTAAATGATACAATTTGGAAAGCAAAATGGAGCATCTCAAACGAACATTTGGTCGACAATTGAGCGTTCGTAATGGAATTCCATGAATTATAAATTTCAATTATGCCCTTCAAAGCTCATTTGTGCCTCCTTGTAAATTTTCTGAATCGGATGCTTTACTAACTCTCGCACCTCAAGAAAATAACTAAAAATACTTTTACAAAATTCTGTTTATATGTGAGTAGTTATATACATACATATATACATCTATATATATATATATGTACAAATCCACAGCATATATATATATACAATTAAATTATTAAATGAATCCTTCTATTCCAAGTCTGCTTAATAACAATATTCATTTGATTAATATCACTGTACACCAATTTAATGCAATTATTGAGATTTGGAATAAGCCAACAAACTTTTATTGATAGGAGGGGAATTTTAACTCAATTACGATATGCATAATAATGAAAAGCAATAAAAAGAGAATAATAAAAAATGAAAGAAAACAAAATAAAATAAAGTAAAACTGGAAAAATATAATCAGAGTATAAAATCAAATAATAAGTAATGATGGTATAATTTAACATACCCCTCAAGTTGAAGCATAGATGTCAGTTATGTTCAACTTGGACTTGATCATCGAACAAAGAGCGAGGCATATTCTTGGTGAGATATCTGCTAGTTGACCACTGGAGGACACATAGCGAATGCAAATCTCCTCGGACTCGATCTTTTGAAGCGTTTGTCGATCTCCACAAGTTTGGTACGATCTTGCTGGACTAAATCGTGAGCAATATCGATTGCAGCCTCATTATCATAGAATAGTTGCAAAGGATTGAAGTTTGCATACAGAGTTCACAGAGCATGATGCATAGCCAGAGAGCTCCACAGATTCCTCAGGACATAGATCGGAATTCAGCTTCAGCACTGCTTCGGGCAACCACAGACTATTTCTTGTTTTTTCACGTGATAAAATTGTCTCATACAAATGAACAATACCCCAAGATGAAACGTCGATCATGAACTGATCTGGCCCAATCAGTATCTATATAGACAGTAATAGACCGAGAGGTTTGACGGGAGAAAAGCAACCATGAGCCTGGCGTACCTTCTAAATAGTGAAGAATCCGGTGAATAGCTTGGAGGTGAAGCTCGTAGGTCATTCATGAATTGACATATTACTCCAACTGTGTGGTATATGTCGGGGCGAGTATGAGCGAGTTAAATGAGTTTTCTCACGAGGTGCTGGTAATGAGTCTTATTGACAGGCACAGCATCGGGAATGTCAGATAATTTTTCATTAGGATCCATAGGAACAGCAACGGATTTGCATAGAAAAAGTTTGTTCTCCATCAAGAAATCAATCACATATTTGCGCTGAGAAAGGCAAACTTCCCGAGATGATCGGCCACTTTCATGCCTAAGAAATATCGGATAGATCCCAAATCCTTCATCTCGAAGGATGAAGCAAGGATGTTATTTAAGGACTCCAATGTAGGAAGATTGTTACCTGTAAGAATAATATCGTCAACATAGATAATAAGAATAGCTACATGGCCATTGGATGTCGAAAGAAGAGGGTGTGATCTAATTGAGTCTGAGTAAACCACGGCCCACAACCACCTTTGTGAACTTGCCAACCAGGCTCTTGGGGATTCTTTTAGCCCATAGAGGGATTTCCATAGCCTACACACTTGTCCTCAGAAAACAGTAGTATCAAAACCCTAAGAAAGTGACATGTACATCTCTTCTATCAGCTCTCCATTTAAGAATGCATTCTTGACATCAAGTTGAAATAAAGATCAAAATAGATTCACTGCAAGTGACAACAGGACTCTAATGGTGTTCAACTTAGTCACTGGATCAAATGTCTCATCGTAGTCAACTCTATAGGCCTAAGAGTATCCTTTTGGCGGCCAATATTATTTTGTTGCGTTCAAAGGACCTGTCAGAGTTGAACTTGGTGCTGAAAAATTCATCGACACTCTGCAGCTTTTTTACCACCAGGAAGATCCACGACGTCCCACGTATGATTCCACTGAAGAGCATTCATCCCCTCAGTCAATGTTGTTTTTCAGGTTGGGTCAACAAGAGCAACCTCAATAGTAGCAGGGATTTGATGGCCCGTCAAGGCGGTAACAAATGCTTTGATGTCGGCGATAAACTATGGAAAGAGATATATTTTACCCTAGAATAAAGGGAGTAAGTCCGATTGCATATCTTACCCGAAGAACTCACCCCCTCTTTCGGATGAGGGGTCGTGCTAAGGATGTCATCCAGAATGAAGTCATGGTTTTGTAAGCAGGTAGCAAAATCTAGAGTAGGAGTATTGGGATGACTGCATCGAGTGTAGACACAAACAATGGAAGGAGGAGATGGTGCATTCAATGGGACAGGTGACTCCTCGGTGGTAGGAACAATAGGAGGATTATCTATAGGAGTAAGATAAGGGACAATACCAGGGAACTCAAGCTCCCCTCACTGCTAAAGGCAAAGCTAGAAAAAAATGGAACACTTTCAAAGAAAGAGAAATCAGCACTCACCTAGATATTGTTTGTGGTCGAATCAAGATATCGGTACCCCTTTTGAGTTTCGGTGTATCCAAGGAAGAAGGATTTTATGGATTTGGAATCAAATTTACTCCGAGTTGGGAGAGTGTTCCAAACAAAGGCAGTGCACTCAAAAATCTTGGGATCTAATGTGAAGAAGACCCGATTGGTAGGTAAGCACGACATCAGGATGGCTAATGAAAGTCGAAACTAGTGAATTTTGGAAGTACTCTATTTATGAGATAAGTGACAGTTAGAATAACATCTTTCCAAAAGCATTTCGAAACATTAGATTGAAATATAATGTGCTCACTTGGGTAACAAGTTGGTAAGCAGCATTATCAGTCGTAAGACCACTGTGACCCGGATTCAATCTATACAGGGACGGATAGCACATATGGGCAGTTGTATTCTCAAATACCACATTTTGTTGAGGAGTGTTGTACAAGAACTATGGTGGAGAATGTCTTTACTAACCAAAAAGTCACTCAAAACAGGATTGAAAAACTCACAACCATTGTCGGTCCAAAGGATCTAAGTATGAGTTTTGAAGTGAGTTAAGACAAAGGTATGAAAGTTTTGAAAAGTTACAGCGACTTCCGATTTGTCTTGTAAAATGTAGAACCACGTCATTTGAGTATGGTCATCAATTAAGATTAAGAATAATCGTTTATTAGTGTAGCTGAGAGTGCGAGAAGGACCTCATATGTCATTGTGAATGAATGAGAAAGGAATGAAAGGTGTGAAAGTGTGAGGTGAGTAATGGACTCGGTGATGTTTGGCAAACTGACATGTCCCAAAATTGAAGTTTGAGAGATTTTTATTAGAAAACATTAAAGAATAGAGCTTTTTCAAATATTAAGAACTAAGACATCCTAAAAGAACATGTAACAACATAACAGGACATTCAATGACTAGAGATAGGCTACAACTTTTGAGTGTCGTGTCTTCACTCTCCATGTTCTCGTTTCGAAAGTAGTAGAGTCTGGATACTCTTTTAGCAGTTTCAATCATTACCCCCGAACGACAATCCTAAAAAACACAGTCATCAAAAGAGAAATTAACAACGCAATCGACATCACTTGTCAACTTGCTGACAGATAATAAGTTACATTACAATTGGGGAATATGTAAAACAGACTTCAGAGTTAGATCAGTCATTAGTACCACCGACCCTTTTACCAACAATGAGACTACATGATCGAACAGCAATGATGATGGTATTTTTTCCAAAACACAGATCGTAAGTTGAGAAAGCTTGCAAGCAGCCAGTCATGTGATACGTAATACCTGAATCAATAATCCACGAACTAGAAGAAGAATATACTTTGAGAACCATATGAAAAGTACCTTGTTGTACGTGAGAGGTCGATGGTTTGTAGAAACCTGCTTGAACCTGGCTGACTTATGATGAATCAATCGTTGTGCCTAAACCTGCAGGGAGGCCGGCTGGTAGAACCGAAAGAGGAGGCGGGGGCTGCCAGATCTAGGGTTAGGCTCTGATGTCATGTTGAGATTTGGAATAAACTAGCACACTTTTATTAATATGAGGAAGGGTATTTAAACCTAATAACAATAGGCATAATATTGGAAAGCAATAAAAATAGAAAAAAAAATAACAATGAATGAAAATAAAACTGAATAAAACAAAAGAGAAAACATATAATTAGACTATAAAATCAAATAATAAGTAATCTAATAGTAATAATAGAGAGTATTGGTAGCTTAAGGATAATTATATTATTAACCGTTAGTAGAACCAAGCAAACAGAGAGGAGAAGGTTATAGGCCAAAGATTGGAGCTGTAGGGAATATTAGGGAAAATTTTTTATTTTTATATTTATATGGAGAAATCGAGTTTGGTTTATGTTTTCTATATTTAAGGCCTTGAATGAGTAGTTTTTTTAGATAAAATGTTATCTTAAAGTTATTTTGAGTAATTTGTGTTGCTATATTAGAAATTTTAAATAAATTGAAAAATGTAATGTTTGCTCATGTTATTTAAGAAATATTAATATTTCAAAGAAATAAAGATAAAAAAATTTGTTCAAGATACCAATCTCTAGTATAAGTATTTTTAACTTTATTGCTAGTGAATTCTCATAAATAATAATGGACTTGTATATGTATGCTAGTAGATTTTTTCTTCACATTGAACATATTAATTGTACAAATTTATCAATAATTCTAATGCATTGCATATAATCACCTGTTAAAAAATAAATACATATTACTTTCAAATTTTCCAAGTCCCATGTATATTCAAGTATTAAAATGTTACTTTCATTTTGCATACTTATGTCTTGGATGCTGGTTGATAAAGATATTCATAACAATGATAAGCATATTTTGAATGTTTATGGTAGTAATGTTGAAAGAGAAAATATATGAAATGTCATGTCATATAAAATGGGTGACAAACAAATATGATGACCTATGCAGGGAGATATGAAGGTTCTAATAAGACGAGCCTCCATTACAAAGCAAGACTCTTAGCAAGTCTACATTGAAGTAGTCCAAGTACTATCAAGGGGACATTCAATAACTACTATGTTGGAATAAACTTAAACATTATCATCTTTTATCATAAGCTGACAAGCTAAGTGATAACTATAGGATTTATAAATATGTTTAGATATAAACAATCATTATATGGCACTTCTAAGACTATAACAAATAAAAATGAGAAAAAAATATGAAAATTAAACTAGTATTTTGATGCTAGCATTTGATAAACATATTATGTTGAATGATAAAAACTTAATATTTACATTTTTATTTGTTGCGAATATTAATGCTTATAGCTTAGATTGTATTTTTTTACTTGTTCAATTATACAATTGTCTTTATTTTGTGTTTATTGTATTTAATTGATATGTTTATTGATTATTAATACTCATGCCAGTTTAGCTGATTGGTAAAATATATTATTTTATTTTCAGATATTTCAAATTATTTATTAAATTCAATTATCCCGCTAAGCTTTATAACTTAGGTGCCAAATATTACTCAAGGTGTTGTTTGAGGCAAGAGAAACAAGTAAGTTAGACCATAATAAGGTCATCAAATTTATTAAATGAATCATTTTGGCGTATCAGAGAAAAAGAATGTGCATGATACACCTATATATCATGTAAATTAGAAACTTCTTAGTCTATTTTGATAGTTAATTGTGTATGCTTCCATGTTAATTGTTGTAATTAATTTATTTGATGACTTGAAAAGAGTTATGCATTTTGATAAATCCAAGCAGGCAAGTTTTTTGCTCAATAAGAATCAGTATGAAATATATTTGACTAAATTGTTGGCCTTTGCTACGTCTAGTACTCAACTAAAAAGGGATCAAAATGGGAGTTGATAAGCAAGCTAGTGAAGAGAAAATGATGATGGAGATCAGCATGCTAGTTTCAAGCAGATATAGACGAGTCAACAAGCTAGTGCCATATGGATGAAAACTCGTAAGCTAGTGTCAAGCAGACAGATAAATATGCCCAATGTCAACTGGCATGTTCAATTAGACAAGTGGGGCCCAATATGCCTAGTCAACCTTGTATATTGTATTGTTGTGACTCGCATATATGACAATAATTGATTACAAAAATTTTGGTGCTGCAATCAGCATCAGCAAATTCCATCAAAAAAAGATTAAAAATATAAGTTCATGAGAGAAAATTCTCACTCTACTTGCGGGAGTCACTGCCATTTTTTTGAGTTAAATACACAGCCTCCAAATCTAAAACACATTTTATAATGAAATTGAATTGTCTTCTAGTTTTTTCTTTTCTTTTTAGGATTTTGTTTGTAGTTAAACTCTGCGAAAAATTAGAACCATTCTTCTTTCAGTGCACAAGAAATAAAGATCTCCTCGCTGATTAACCTTTCTTGTGCACCACAAAAGGTCATCCTTCTTCCTAATAGACACCGTTCTTGGATCATTTAATTGGAGAAAATCCAGCATAAAGATATGATGAAGGAATCAAATGCCCGTCATATTACAAGTAGCTGTTGGTTACGGAAGAACAAATATAGAAACAAAAAATCGAAAGGAATGCCTTTCCCCCATGTTCACAGTAGAGTAAACATGAAAGGTGTCAGAGAATTTAATCCTTCAATTATCCTTCGGGTCAAATCAATTTGATTTGCATAAACAGAGTGCTATCTTGAAGTATATATTGTAAAAAAAAAACTAAACTTCCATGTTTTATGTTTTGGGTCATCAAATTAAAATATCTGGACCAAAATTCAAATAATAAAGAGGAATACTGAATACTTACACAAGGAAGGAAATTTTGAAGCTTCAAGGGAGGATTGAGAGTCATCTTATGCAGACGCTTACCTACCAAAGAGACAATAGGAGCATAGTCATAAAGAATAGTGTAAATGTAAAAAGTGAATTGAATGATAAAAATTCAGTAGATATAAAAAGCATAAGGATTTTGACAATCTAAACGAACAAATTGGTTACTGTACAAAAGTTGAGAACGCACATTGCTTGATGGCAGCTAAAATGACACGTTCCAACCTATCCACACGGTTATCTGTAATTGTAGGAGATCTTTCTGCTAGCAGAGGAGTTATGCTGCTGGCTCCCAGTTCCTTGGGCATGGTAATTGTCAATACTTTACTCAGTACCATTCACATAGAGACATAAGGATTATGAATATTAACTCCCAGTTCAAAATACATACTGTGCATTTCTCGATAAGCCAATCTGCACGACCCCCTTTTAAGGTGCCTGGTTGTGAGGAAAGAAAAACGCATGAATGATGAATATAATATAACAAGAAAAATTGAATTCAACGTTAAAAAAGAAACAATCAAGATGTTACTCACCGAAAGAGGCAAATACATGCCACTGAATGCCCTCAGGACATAGAACTTTTGGCTCTTGCAAAGCAACGATATCCAAAGCATTCTTATCAATGCTCTTTATGCAAGCTTCCACTAGACCTCCTGTTCCGTTGAAGAGCTCCACCCTTCAGCATATGGAAATAAGAAACAAGCAAGCAAGCTAGAGCTGAGGTGCTAAGTATAAAACAAAATAGATGAAAAGAAAAGGAGGAGAAAATTATGTAAAACTGGATGTCATGTTCCTTACAGACCAACAAGTCGAAGTAGAGAAACTTGATATGCACAGCATGCGAATGCTATGAAATAAACCAGGGAACTCTGAGAACCGAACAGAGCACCAATACAGTAAATGAAAGGATGAGAAAAACTAATAATAGAGAGCATAAAAGATAGGTCATTTCATTGAACTTTTTCATCAACCCTTATAGTACATAACAGGTAGTATATATAGGAGAAGAAGAAGGTTCTAGCAGCATAACTTTAGTAAACGATTGATACAGGATGGTGGAGTGGCGCTAATACCATCCCTCAAACTGATGGGTCGTGGAAGAACTGTCAACTTGTGCAAAGTTGATGAAATTTGTGTTTAGATAAGGCTTTAGTAAGAATGTCAGTTGGTTGATCCTGGGAGTGAATAAATCTGATCCGTAGTTGGTTGGAGTGAATGTAATCACGGATAAAGCAATAGTCATCTTTATGTGCTTCGTGTGCGCATCAAATACAGGATTGTTTGTAATGGAGATGATTGAAATGTTATCACAGTGAAGTGGTGTTGGTTGATTGAGAGGAACACCAAATTCTTGCATCAACCTTCTAAGCCATGTGATGTCTATATTTGCAGTAGCAAGTGCCCTATACTCCATTTCGAGGAGCGTGCCACCGCTGATTATTTCTTCACAGTCCAAGAGATCAATGTGTCCCCCAGGAAAGAACACACACCGGTGATCGACTTGCGATCCAATTGGTCACCAGCTCAATCGGCATCAGCATATGAGCGCAGATAAAGGTTTCTAGAGCGAACTTCTAGCCCAAAGTGACTTGTGCCTTTCAGATATCTTACGAGATGTGTGAGGGATTTGTAGTGGTTTGTTATGGATGATCGCATATGTTGACATAGCCAGCTAAAAGCATAAGTGATATCCGGTTGAGTCATCGTGAGATATTGGAGCAAGCCTGTCAACTGGCGATAAAGAGTGGGATTATGAAATGGGGTACCTGATTCCGAAGAGGTGTCTTGGTGAACATTAATTGGTGTGCAGTCCTCCATGCCTGCATGCAAAAGGATTTGTAGTATGTACCGCTGTTGAGTAAGATGACATGTTTGGTAATTTGTGAACTTGAATGCCAAGGAAGCAACCAATGTCACTGAGATTTTTGAGCTGGAAGGTAGCAGCTAGAGTTGCAGTTAAGTCTGAAATTGCACTAGAATCATTTCTCATAATCAGAATATCATCCACGTAGATAAGAACAAACATCCGAGTGCATTCTGATTGTAGAGAAGAAAGGAGGGATTGCCTTGTTGAATACAAATCCTTTATTTTGAAAGAAGTTTGAGAAAGTAATAAATCATTGCCTGGGAGTCTGCTTTAATCCATATAGTGCTTTTTGTAATAAGCAAACATGATTTGGAAATTGTAGATCTTGGAATACAGGGGGTTGTTTCATGTAAATTTGTTTATTGAGCTTGTCGTAAAGAAACGAATTGGAGATGTCAAATTGAAGGATGGGCCAATTTTGATGAAGGAAAACTGTGAGCAAGATGCCAATAGCGGGGTGTTTAACCATGGGACTAAATGTTTCATGATAAATTACCCTGAATTCCTACTTCACCAAGTGAATTTAATTTGGTTGTATAAGTCCATCGAGAGCAGAGTGTTAATGGGAGTTGGAACTAACTTTCACGTTCCTTGTCGTTGTAGTGTCATTATTTGTTCTGTCATGGCATGCCTCCATTGTGTTAGTTTGGATGCTTGGGTGAAGTAAGTTGGGTCGGGTGGCTGCTGAATGTGGTGAAGAATATTCAATTTCTGGATGGGTTTCAGATGACTGGTTTTCATCTTGGTTATCATTGGATGGTTCGGTTGAGGTGGGAGAATGGATGGTGGTGTGGGAAAGTCCATAGGAGAACTGGATTGAGCAATGGGTGGGAACGAAGGCGAGGGAGGTACGGTAGGAGGCGGTTCGATAGCAATTTGTAAGAGTGATGAAGGCTGTAGGAAATAGGGTGTTATGTGGGCTGAAGTGGAGGATTGATTTGGTTGTAGTGAAGTTGAGTTTTAAAGAAAAGGAAAAGTATTTTTATCAAAGACCATACGACATAAAATGATGATTTTATTAGAGGTAGGATTAGCATTTATAGCCCTTATGTTGTAGAGAGTAGCCTAGAAAAATACATTGGACTGATCGGGGTTCAAATTTGTGGTTGGTTTGAGGTTTCCTCCATGGGTAACAAACACATCCAAAAACTCGAGTATGGTTGCATGTGGGTGGGGATTTATGTAAATGTTCATATGGGGAGATATAGTTGGTAATTCTAGTGGCATTCGATTTATGACATGGACAACCATTAAAGGAGCCTTGGTCCAAAATTTGTACGGAGTATGAGCTTGATGTAGGAGAGCATGAGTGGTCTCCATAAAGTGTCTATATTTGCTTTCCGCCACCCCATTTCGTTCGGACGTGTATGGACAAGTGTATTGGTGAAGAATGTCATTTGTAATGAGGAATTGATTTAGAGTGTGATTATTATATTTGTCATCCCCGTCAAATCGAAGAATTTTTATATTGGCATTGAATTGAGTTTGTTAAACAGTAATGAAATTGAGTAATCATTGGTGTTTGAGATTTGGAGTGCTTGAAAAAGTCCCAACAAAAAAGAGAGAAGTCATCCACATCCTGGATAAGAAGGAATTGGGGAGGAACCTCATACATCACTATGTATAAGCTCTAATAGTTTGTAGTTTTGTCTTATAGACTATACAAAGGGCTATTTATGGCTTTTAGTAATATTGTAAATGCTACAAAAAGTAGGAATAGATGGAATATGTAGTGATTGACGCTTGGAGATTGCGGTGACTATGCTCGGAAGAGGATGACCCAACCCCCTATGCCATAACACAGGGTAGTGTGCATTGGAGATGGACGCAGTCAATGCTTGTGGTGTGATAGTAGAAGATGGGATGGAGTAGAGACCATTAGAGTTGGGTCCCCGAAGGATCATGGTGAGAGTCTACAGATCAAAGATAGAGAATCCAGAGAAGTCAAATGAGACAGCAATGTTGTTGTCTTTGGTTAACTGATGAATAGATAGTAAATTATGAGATAGAAGGGGTGTATAATGAATTTGAGAAAGTTTAAGCTTACAGTGGGGGGTAGGAAGGATGTCGTCACCCTTATGCTGAATGGAACTGCTTGCCCATTGCCAACAGTAACTTATTCGGCGCCATAGTAATGAGTTGTGGTTTGTAACTGATGATATCCGATGCAAAGATGTCAGTGCTCCTGAGTCAAGGATCCACTCTTTGGAGGTAGCCGCAAGGGCTTGAGGAGGAACAGTGGGTTAATATGTGGATATCAAGTGCCCTGATTTAACGCATATTTGACAAATGACTGGTCGATTGGCTTGCTTACCACCCTTAGATCCACTTGAATATGCTACAAGATGGTTCATATTGAAGTTTCGGCCTCTACCTCTACTATGAAATGAACCTCGCCTGATGGAGATTGTGGGTTAGTATCGAGGCTATTTGAGTTAGTATCGAGGCTATTTGTTTGGTATTTTCTATTTGTAGATTAACTTCCTCACCGCGCAACAAAGAGTAGAGATCTTCAAGTGTTATGGGTTGAAGCATGGTATGGAAGTCTTGCATGCATTGTTGATTGGTGGAAGACTGTTGAGGATGTATAGAAAAACATCCTAATGATCTAAATGAAATCCAGCACATGTATATGATCTACTATGTTTCGAATATTGGAGAGGTATTATTGCATTTTACTATCCTTCATGGTGATATGATGCAACTCGTTCTTCAACTGTATTGCTCTCGAATGATTCGTGGGTTGTGGACGTTGCCCCAGGGTGCTCCATATTTATGTGGTAGATTGTAGATGTAGGATGTGAGTGAGAACAACAAGACTGTTGATGCAATAGAGGAGCAATGTTAAGTTCTGGTCGATCAGCTCCCATAGCTGAAATTGAGGATTCTTCACATCATTTTCACCGTCTCCTTGAAATTGTGGTGGATAGATGTAGCTTCCATCCAAAAAACCAGAAAACCCATTTGCCTTGAAGGTTTTCATTACTCGCACCCTCCATATGTAATAGTTGTCGACCGTAAGTTGATTTTGAGTGAGGTATTTGAGAAAGGAATCGAGGAATTTTAGAGCAGGTGTTACGTTTAGGATAGGAGCATTCATAAGAGTCGTTTGAGATTCAGAGACCGTTGATTCCTCCATTGCCTTGAGAAAGGAAGAAGATTTTAATAGAAGTTGAGGTGAAGGGAAGAAGAATTACCAGGTGTGAAACTCTGATACCATGAGAACCGAACAAAGCGTAAATAAATGGATGAGAAAGACCAATAATGGAGAGCATAAGAGGTACGTAATCCCATTGAGCTTTTCCATTAACCCTTGTAGTACATAACAAGTATATATATATATATATATATATATACAAATGTATATATATATATATAGGAGAAAAGAATGTTCTAGCAACATTTCTTTAGCAACCTAATTGGTTAGGATATTTCCTGCACTCCTCCTTTGGGAACACTTGGAAGAATGATGCAGTGGCATTGCTTGATCAACCGTGACCAATTGAAGTGATCCAGGTCCTTGGTGAGATATCTTGTTCGGTAGGGACGAGAATACTTTGTTTTCATTTGCATATAATGGAAGATGTGACTCTACCACTTGTTGCAGAGGGTTGAACCCAGTTATATTAGTTGGACAGATCTTCCCTATGATAGGCCTATAAAGACTTATGCAAAAGCAAAGCCAGATAGCTTGGCCAAGCGTTGGGTCGAATTGCAAGCCTCAGGATACCTTGTGCAAGTTAATGTGCTACATCTAGCCATTGGAATATGTGATGGCACCTCCGGAGATTGTAGTTCGTGTCCTCCTTGAGGAAAGGACACTCTCCTCATGATATCTTATTAGGTACCAAATCGGGCAAAGAAGATTGTATGCAATTGAATTTTGTCAATTGACCTTTGCCAGCTGAATGTCAATTTTCTCAACAACCACCAATCAACCCCCTTCTACCTCCGTTGTTTGCCTCATCACTTTCACCACTATCATCACCGACACCAGCTTGAACTCGCAAGCATATATAGTGCAAAGCAAACTTAGCCATACCGCAAAGATATAAGCACTCACACACGCATCTCAACTTGGAGAGAAAAGCATGGTATGCCTGTGACATTCATTGTGCAAGTACATAAGACTAATTGCACATTTTGTTAAGCATTGTGGGCTAAGGAAATGTGTGGACCATCTTATATGTTGTAAAAGCTCCATCGTGCACATCAATTTTCATACAGGTACATAAAGCCCCATTCACATTCTTTAAGCATGGTGTCCTAGACATTGACCATGCATGCTTTCTAGGCAAGGTGAGCAGGCCTGGCACACCCTTAACACGAGGAAAACATTAAGAGGTTTCCTATATTTTGCTTAAATATCAATTCAAAAAGTAAATTAAAATGAGATGTTGGACTCAAATGCAATAAAACGAAAAGAGAAACTAAGGAATAACATGAAAAAACTAAATATGGCATGCAAGTTACTTCAAGAGAATAAGAATAAGCATAACTAAGACTGACAAAAGGCCTAAAAGGACTTACAGAGGACTTAATAGCTAGACAATGAGCATAAAAAAATCTCCCGGCAACCTCTAAAAACTTCCTATTACTCACGGCTCTCAGAACACACAATGAATTGAAGGAACTCGAACTGTCAAAATGAATTAGGATGCCCCTCCTATTTGTAGAAAGAGAAAATTTCCCAGCAGAGCCCACCTTACAAAAATAAAGCTCATATACAAACAAATTTATGATGTTTTAAATATGTAATGGAATATAGTTGATAAACATTCGCAGCTGAATTCAAAATACATACTTGAAAGCAAACATAATGCAAATATCAAAACTCTAAATGAAATATCTGTGTATTTTAATAACAAAACACTCATGAAACGATAAAACTCAAATAATTTTAAATCCTCCACAAATATCATGAAACAATTTTCAACTCATATACAATAGTTTGAAAATCGATTGTCTCAAACTCCAACCTAATTATCTCATAGTGAAAATCATGCAACTGCATCATTTGGCAAACTCCAACAAATATTGCCTCTTGAAAGCCATCTAAGTCCTTTGAGACCTATAGAGTTCTTTGCATACCTTTAAGTATACCCCGACTGTGAGTTTTGGTAATGAATCTATTGCATTGTATTTAAGTTTCTGACTTCACCAAGATCGACCCCGGTTATTCTGTTACAATTATTGCTCTTGCCATCAAATTATTCTCTAATATTTAGCAACATTTCATCTATCTTTCCCTTAGAGCACGTGTCTATTAATTTTTTTCTCCCAGTTCCTTCTACATTTCATCTGCATCTCCCTTTGTGTGCACCGCATGAATAAATGTCAACCAAGGAGTTAAGAGCAGTCTTGATTCTAAGTTTGTGCACTGCACGTGATGAATCATCAAAGGAGAAAATCACGATAAAAATGGACAATGACAGAGAGATGAAGAGATGATGTTGGGGAAGCAAAATGTGGGAGGAGGAGAATGAGCTGATGAAGAAAAGAAAGAACGGGAATAAGATGAAGAAGAGCGAGTAGGAGGAAGGGATGCATAAGTGGATTATATGAGAGTGGAGAAACAAGGAAGTGAGTGTTTTAAAAGAAAAAAATCAATAAGATTAAAAAAATTCCCCTATGGAATTTTGAGGTCCAGGCACTAATTACAGAGTTGGGGAGACCGCGTCTTAAAAAAGAAAATAGTTAACCTCTATATATACTTTGAAGGCTCACTTAATCAAATGTGGAGAAAACAATGGAAGACAAATACAACCTCACGAGAAATTAACACAAAAAATTCAAATTCATCATCAATGTTGCCAAACCAATACGATCTGAGAAGAGTGGCCTAGTAACGTTTTAGTAGTTGCATGAGGCAGGAGAAAATTTTGCCATACATAAAATAGAAAATCAACAATAGAATTTGCAAACACAAATATTCTAAGAAAATGGAAGAAGAATATAATATTAGTAAATATTAATTGTCATAATATTTATGTATGCTATATATAGAGAAAAATATGTGCATGTGTAGTTTAAGCATGCGCACCAATGCGATCTCTATAGAATCTTTTTCCAATTCGTCATGTGAAGTGATTATATTTGTTGGTAACTTTGAGGGAGACAAAAAACTACAATGCAGATGGTGATAGATGATCATGTAGTTGTTCTCAGATGGCTCAAAGTGTATCACTTCTGAAGATTGTGGACAATTCAACCAACCCAAACCATGGTTCGCTCCAATATTTAATTTGGGTGCATTTATTGAGGCCAACAACTATTTTTTTAGGCTTTGGAAATTAAGATCAACTTGGAGAATCAATCATCTGGTACTCTCAACACTCTCCCAAACGAGCCCCAAAAAAATTATTTTTGCATAAAATATTTTGTAATTAGATGCTTTAATAGCAAACCAACTTTTTCAAAACTATCTAGAAACTAGCATATTTGAAAGCTCATATTTTCCTAAACCCAAAGGAACTAACTTGAGCCACCCTTAATTCTTAAGTATACAACTCAGTATGAGAAACTCCCTCTATTTTGCACTGACCATTCTCCATACTTTTGTAATCCAAAAAAGGTGCTTCATCCTCCTTTCCATTGATTTGCTCATTTGCACATGCTCACATTAGCACAAGGGATGATTTTGCAGTACATTTTCCGAAATAATAATCGCAATTGAGGATCAAACCCTTCAACAGAAAGGAACGGTACCTGGCGTTCAAGCCCAGCCGAAGGACCTTCGTCATGTGCCAGAACTCGTCTCCTTCAACTCGGACAATCTTGCCCTGCATGAAAGTTTTAGCGGTAGTCAGCAGTGCGATTGGGACCTAACTAGGTCCAAAAGAGAGAGCAGGTGAAGGAGAGAAAGGGGGGAGAGATGCCTTGCATGATGGGAGAGTCTGCGAGTGGAAGCGAGGAAGGCCTCCACGAGACTGGCTCGGCAAGGATTCCGATGATAGAGCGCGGGTGGGGATGTAGGCTTTGTGCAGCCATGAGCGACTGGGTAGGAAGTTAAAGCGGCGTTGAATGACCGGAAATCGCATGAAAACCTGAGCGATTTTACCAGAATGTCGCCTGCATTTAAAAATCTCACGCTCAAACCATCATTTTTACAGTTAAAACCATCTTTTCCGATGTAATAGTATGACAGTGAATTTTTATAATCCTCTTTTTCATTATATACAATAACATAAGAATTGGGTGTTATTATGTACATTTTCATTTTTTTAAATGGCGCATAATTTTTTAAAATTTAAAAAATATATTCATTATTTTATTTCTCGGCAATTAGGATATTTTAGATACATATCACAGAATTCTTCATGATAGTTCACATTCATATTGTTGAATCCAAAAGTGTTCAAGAAACACGGAAGTTTATGCTAAGACATGATTAGGAGAGAGAAAAATAGAGAGAGAAACGTATTAGACCATAAGGCTGTCAAAAAAGTTTGTTGTTTGAGAACAGTTCATGTTCGATTCGTTTGATAAATAAACGAGACGAACGCGAATAAATTTTTTTCATTCGGTTAGTTAAACAAACCAAACACGAACAATAATATGTTCGTTCGTATTCAAATCCTTATTGTTCGAAATATAAATAATTTAAAATAATTATATATAAAAATTTTATGATATTTTAAAAAATTAAATTTATAAATTATAATATATAATAAATTAATAATAATTATATATTAATATTAGAGATGTCAAACTGGCTCGTCGTTCGCGAACAGCTCGTGTTCGGCTTGTTCGTTAAGAAATGAACACGAGCTTATTTCAAACAAACTAAGTTTCGAACAAACCGAACACGAACACAAGTTTTGTTCATTCATGTTCAATTCGTTTACACCCCTATTAGACCAAAAAGAGAGAGTACCTTATTCATGATAAAGACTCCTATTTATTGGCCTAGGTCATAATATTATAAAAGTACATATTTGTCCTTCATTATTAACTTTTCAGGAGAGTTTTTGGATAATTATAGAGTTATTTGCATATAATAAAATCGGGGTCCAATTAGATCGATGAGTTTTGTCGATCGTCTGGCAAGCCTTAATTCGAACGACATATGGTCTGAAAGAATGCTCTCAATCGATCATCCTGATGGTTGATTACCACCCTGGAGGAGTTTCTCCTACCGCCTTCTGTCGATCGTTTGGACAAGATGTTTCCTTCGCCAATATTCATCCATAAACGATTGTCGAAGGCTACGCTCGATCGTCTGAATCTTCTTCTCGTGCCCTTCATCTGCTTTCAGATTCATGCTAACATATTTTCATATGTACATATTTAATTCATCGATTCTCTTGCTCCTCTAACATTGTATAGTACACGAGGATAAGATAATTTTTTAACATGTATTAAATAAATAATTAAATGATATTATTGTGCAATAATGGACTTCTATAAATTTTCGTGTCTGGGTCATTATAAATAGGTTTTAAGGCAAGGGAGGTCTACACTATCTCCGTCTCTTTTAGCTTCGTTGTCTCGCGTCATTCTCTTTTCGCTTTTTTTCGCAATGTCTGACGAGAGAGTGTCACCTTCCGATAAGAGTGTCCTCCTCAAGGTCATGATCGACATGTTTGTGCAAGCTCGTTAGTTAGACGTGAAGCATAAACCAACATGCGAGGTATCTACAAAAAAGGTGAGTGGGAAGAGAGTTATGCTCAAGACAGGGGCCTATGATCGTGAAAGTCAGCCTTGTTCTTCCAGTTTTCTTGCAGGCTCTCCCCAAGAGAGAGCTACAAGGCAGGTTAGGGGTCTTCCTAATGATCATCCTACAAAGACACTCGTGGGGGTGAGTGCTCCCGTTGCGAGAGAAAGTTTGCCCGTCCAGGTGGTTGTGGGGGCTACGGTTCTCCGGAAAAGTCTAGAGGAGGCGTCAGCTGAGGCTAAGACATGGCTCTGACCAACTAAGAGTGGTTTGGTCATAAGGACGATGCGGCAGTTGTGGACCATTTTGCGGTCGATGGGATGAGACAGGTTGTCGCAGGGGAAGCAGATGTGACAAAACTGGGCGCACTGGAGCATAGTGTTGAGCGGGATACCGGGGATTGGGGTGTTGGCGTCAAGTTTTTTTTGATGTTGCGAGAGAGGAGGGGACCTAAGGGCGCCTTGTGTCATCTGATTTCATGCTTTGTCGTGTTGTTGCGATGGGCATTTTCTTCGTTTTGTGGGGTATCCTCAAGGAGATGATAACGGAATAATCACTGAGGTTCTTGAGAGAGTTGACTTGGTGGAAGGAAAGGTTGTTGTTCTACGCGAGGAACTTGCGGCGTCCCAAGGGGAGATGCTTGCCAATAATGGGGAAGTTATGTGTCTATGTTCGGAACTATCGACCATTACAGAGGCCCTCGCCGCTCAGCCTAGGAATAGCCAGAATGACCTTTTAAGAATGTGTAAGGTGTTTATATATGAATGGCTTCACCATCAAGGGTTTGTCTTAGGTGAAGCCGTAAACGATCGCTTTGTGATATTTTTCCTTCCTCAGTTATAACCAAGGGTTGAACAAGACGACCCCCCCCCCCGCTCCCCTAGATATAAATAAATAAGAAATGATATGAAATATATGTATGTATTTCTGATAATGACTACTTTACTTAGGTAGAATGTTGTTCCGCCTCATCAGTCGTATTGGCAGTGTTTCGACTTTCCAGGTATTTTTTCTATATATAGTGGTCGTGCAAATCGCTAAGAGTTCCCATTCCTTTTCTTTCCTCATCATTCTTCTTTCCCTGGGTTGTGTCGTCGTCTTTTCCTTTCTCTAGGTTTTGTTATACTCTTCTTCTACATTTTTGTCTATTGTCGTAGACTCCATGATTAAGAAATACAATCATTTAGCTTGATTCTTGCTATGAATGTTTTGGTCCTATGGAGATTCAGAATCATAAGATTCACATGATTGGGCTTGAGAACAAAGTGAAGAACTAGAAGTTGAAGTTCTTGGTTGATTCGTGTGCGGACGAATGGTGGATCCATATTGCTCCTACTGAGTGTAAGGTGAAGGAAGTAAAGACCTTGTCGGGGGCATGTTCGAGACCACAGGGTGGCTTTATGGGGTTGATACAATGACTGAGGATTTGTGGAGATCGGCCGACAACAGGGAGGACGCTCAAGAGAGAGCTGCTGGAGAGAGGGTGGCTTTGAAGAAGTCAGCTGGTCACAATGTTCGTAGTTGAAAGTTGCAGTAGTAATTGACCACAATGATCGTAATTTGTGACTTCAATAGCATTAGTTTGTCACAATGGTCGTAGTTGGAATCTGTAGTAGTAGTTAGCCACACAGGCCTCAGTTGCGGGCTACAATAGCATTCGTTGGTCATAGAGGGTGTAGTTGAAAACTATAGTAATATTTGGTCATATATATCATAGTTGGGAGTTGTAATAACGTCAATTGGCCATAGAAGTTGTTGAAAAGTGTGGTAGCAGTAGTTGGCCACATAGACCTTAGTTTAGGGCTAAAATAGTGTTAATTGGCCACTGAGTCCATCATTGGAAGTTATGGTGATGGTCAAATACATCGTAGTTGGGAGTTACAATAGCATTAGTAATAAATGTCATGTTAGAAGTTCTAGTGGTTGGTCACATAGGCCTTAATATTATTAATTAAGAAAATAAGTACTTAATATTTATATATAAGCAATGGTAAGAAGTTAAGGCTTGTGAGCACCCCATTGCTCCTCCAACTAAATATCCTTATTGATCTCTCATTAGGAACCGTAACACTAGGGTGTAAATGAACCGAACATGAACGAACAGAGCTTGTGTTCGTGTTCGGTTCGTTTGAAATTTAGTTTTTCTGAAATAAGGTCGTGTTTGAAATTATTCTTGAAGTCACTGTTCGTGTTCATTTCTTAAAAAACGAGCTGAACATGTGCTGTTCGCGAAAGACGAGCCAGTTTGATATCTCTAATATTAATATATATAAATAATATATTATATTAATTATATAAATTAAATTATATAAATATATAATATCTATATTAGTATATTACTAATATAGTATATTAATATATTTTTATTATTAATTTATTATATATTATAATTTATAAAATTTAATTTTAAAAAATATCATAAATTTTTTATATATAATTATTTAAAATTATTTTATATTTCTAACAATAACGATTCGAATAAGAACGAACGCATCACTGTTCGTATTTAGTTCATTTAACTAACCGAACGAAAAAAAAATGTTTGTGTTCGTCTCGTTTACTTATCGAACGAATCGAACACAAACTCATTAATGAACCAAACACGAACTATTCGCGAACAACGAGCTTTTTTGATAGCCCAACCTAACACGCCACTTCTTCAACTTGGGTTTAACTTCATAAGCCTAATTCCATAATCATTGATATGTTATTTAGAAAATAATAATGACACTCCGATGAAAAGATATTTTAAGTAGTTTTTCATTTCAATAGTCACCCTATCACTGAGAATTAAGCCATACTTTGCTATCAAATAGTTAGTTTCACCTAAAATTAATTTTAAGATATATTTTTTTAATTAAAAGAGCTGCTCATGGCTCATTACGCGTTAATAAAAGAGAGGTTACAAAGTTGGGGGAGGAATAGTGGATCCCCATCTAAAAGCAAAAAATACATCAAGTTCATAGGGGGTTCCACTCTCCACAGTACAACTCCACGCGAATAAGACTAAATAGCTTAAGCAAAATACCAAACCAAAAATATATGTAATCATCCAAAATATATACCTAACACATAGTATACCCAAAAAAGTTATATGTACACCACATTCCCAAAGTTCAGCAGTGACGAGCAGCAAAATCGTAGTAGAGGCTTGAAGTTCCATTGAGGAATGCAAATATAACACTCGGAACACTCGGAACCTGCAAACATAGGAGAGGGCCACAAAGCTTCCACGAAAAGAAACCAAGCAGCCGATCATCCCAAAACAGCTCAAAAAATGAGCAAAAGGAGTTCGAAAATAGATGTCAATTCATACAATACTTCTCATGCAATGGAGTCCAACTCCAAACAAAAATGAATAAACCACCAGGTGTCCAAACAAGGATTGAGCAAGATAAAACCCGCAGCAGGCATCATAAAGAAACAAAAACGCAAGCAAACAGATGGTGAAAATGT